TTTGAATATAATTTGTGTATGTAGATGTGTCTTTCTCATTTTGTTTGAATGGAGGCTGTCGTCCCTGATCATGGCTATGTCGCTATCGTCATATTGGCTTCAGTGACACAAGCTGCTCTACTCTGTTTGATACTAACCGTCGCTGGTACTCTACTCAGGAGACTGTTGGCACCAGATGGACTAGAAGTAGATGGTATCGGATGTTCCAGGAGTTACCAGAACAGTAGAGGTCCATAAGGTAGTGAGACTGAGAGGACCACCGGTACTGCACAGAGGGATATATTGGTGTTTAGCTCAGTGATTGTTGCTGCATCCAGCACATCAGCACTGTCTATGTTGGACTGTACTTTACAACTGAGGGATCTGTAGACATTGGTGGTTTTTGAATGTACTTTTTATGCTGCCGCTCTATACTCAGCGACATCTGAGCTTGTCTGGTGGTAGTGAATTTCACTCTTCATAATGGCACAACTCGCTTCACCACTCGACCTGTATCTCCCACTTGGATGGACCTGCTACCACTGTCACTGGACCAGAGACTCCTCCACTGTCACCAAGGAACTGAGACTGTGTTGAATGCTGGGGTGACTGCACAGTATCACTCACACACTGTCGTGACAGACAGAGCGGCAGGACTCTACAGATGTTTACCGCGAGCTAATGGGTTTCAGATGTTGCAGCGAAGAGTTACCTGTTACAAGGTGAGGACTGAGGTTAGAGTTCTGAGAATAGCTGAATTTCTGACTCTATAATGATTAAACCAGCTCACTCTCCTCCATCTAATGTGGGAGTTGTCTCAGATGGGCTGAACTGCTGAAACAGTTACTGGTGACCTGGACCACATCAGAAGGACCCTATGTTGTTACTGGCACAACTGTCATCTACCAAGCAATTAGGATGGAAGGACTTAGCGGAATCAGTGACAGCTGCAGAGACAGACACTCGCGTTGTCATCACTGGAGCAGGCCAATGTTACTGGCTACACCTCTACTACCAGCAAATAGATGGAGGACTTAGTGGATCAGTGAAAGCTGCAGAGACAGATACTAGCGTCGTCATCACTGGACTAATTGCAGGAGCAACCTTCTCCATCAGTGTATCCGCTGACTCCAGTACACTATCCAGTTCTAGATCCCGAGGACCGGATATTACTATTCAGTACGAGAAAGGTTTGTTTAAATAAGTGCCTAAAGGATAGCTGCTCATTATAGAGAATAGCAAGAAGGTCCACCATCTCAGGAAATGGTTGAATAACTTGTGGCCCTATAGGAAAGAGCTACAGTAGACATCTTGAGTTTATTCTACAGTTGCATATCCAGTGAAAAACTTTGAGGTAATTTCAGTATCGGAGACCTCTCTCACATTCTCCTGGAGCCAGCCCAGCACTGGGGCCCACCTCACCACTGGCTACAACCTGACATGTGTCCCTCTCCTGACTGGGATCCCATCCCCCCAGTCTCTTCCCCTGTTGGCACCAACCCTCACCTCAGCCACACTGTCTGGACTCTTCTCTGGAGTTCCATACAACTGCAGCATCTCCACCATATCTGACAGAGGGTCCTCTCTCCCTGCCTCCCTCTGCATCACTACCAATGAGTCTGGTATTTAACTATACACACACACTGAACACACATTGTGGGAAGGAGAGTATTGTGGTAGGTGAGCCCTTTTTGGGCATTCTCTTTCTTGTGGACTTGTAGCTCTATGTGCACAAAAAGGTTTATTCACGTGACTTCCATTTCTCAGCATTGTACGTATACTATGTAACCCCATTACTTTCACGATGACAGTATATAATTCCCTCAGCTCCATCAGGATCTCCAGAGATGTTAGACGCAGTGCCTGGAGAGAGAGAAGTGGAGTTCTCCTGGTCTCCTCCTCCTGTCACCCAGCGTAATGGAGTCATCACCAGCTACCTATCTCCTGCTCCCCCTCCCCCTCCTCCCTTCCCTCACTCCCCCTCCTCCCAGTCTGGACCTCACACAGTGAGCCGGCTTCTCTCCCAACACTCACTACTCCTGTTCTCTGGTGGCCAGTAACACTCTGGGCTCTGGACCTCCTGCCAACACCTCATTCAACACTCAACAAGACTGTAAAATTCAGTTGATATTAGTTTCAGATATGTTAATGCTTTCCCACAGATTCCTTCTTTCAACTTCGTTTGGGTAAAGTTCCCACTTCCTGTTCTGAAGAAATTGTAAGTCCTTCCTATGTTATGTTCTATATTACTTCCTTCTTTGTTACAGAGATTCAGACAGAGACCCTGAGAGGGACAGTGGTTCCCTCATCTCTCTGACTAGAGCCTGGTGAAGGGGAGTCCAAGCAGCTCATCATGACTGGAGTACTCATGACCGTGGACTCCCACTGCTCAGTGGCCATCTCTTCTCTCAGTCAGCCACAGTGCCCTCCTTCTTCCACTGACATGCCTGCTGTTGAGAAAAGTAGTGATCAAGAGCCTGCACAAGTTTCAGATGCTATAATCGGAGGGGTTGTGGCAGTTGTTATAGTTCTTATCATTGCTATTACTATTGCCATTGTTGTCATCATTGTTGTTCTCATCCTCAAGAATCGCCGTGGAGAAGTTTCACTGAAGAACAATTCTGACAAAAAGTATGTGTGGTGTGTGTATATAGCATTGACAGTCTATCAAGTTATGATGATTTACTGGCATACACTAGCAGTATATTGTCTGAAAAATTTGTTGTGAAGCATAAATGAATCACTCTTGTGTTAACATTTCATCTGTGCTGGTACAGGTCGGGAAGTGGTGATATTCACACCTCAACTAACGAGGCCTATGGGAAGGTGGGGGGAGGGCAGAGAGAAGAGGGATATGAGCTGGTGGACATCTCTCATGGAGAACCTCCTCCTCCTCCAGCTAAACTGGAGGAGATGTATGAGGTTCCCTTGTCCTCTGCCCCTCCCCCCAGTCAGCCCCTCCCACCCATCCCTCTCCCTCATACTGATGCTGACACTGTGGAGAAAGACACTGCTGTCTATGATGTCATTCCTGGAGATATTTGACTCTACATTCATGTGCAATGGTGTGACTTTTGACTGTATATACTTGTCACAATGAAAAGCACTAAACTGCAAACCCTCGGCGAACTGCGCATGTGCGGTAACACTAATTGATGGGCTGGGCTTTTTATGCCTTTTGACTCGTGGTATCCCGCTAGTAGCTCGCGGAGAGTCTGGCACGGGCTAGCTACAGTAGTAAATAGCATGCGGGAGTCGATACATGCCCTTCGTTGTGACTTGTTGTACCTTCAAGACACACAGAGCGAACGGACGCGGTCGAGGTAAGCCTGTGCTAATTTACATATTGGCTTGTTCACTTGGTTTTCACGCCATAACTTTAAGTGAAGCATCACGAAAAATTGAACTCCAGACCTACCCGGTAGTACTTCGAGCCGAGAGCGTAGCACTTACCGTTCACGAGAAACGTGAGGTCCTTCGCGTATGGCTACCGGGTATCCAGCAAGTCACGTTGTTTCCAGCCGATATTCCTGGAGCAGACCTCTCTGAGCCCTTTAATAGGCATACTGTACCTGATTTGCGCTGGTGGCTGCTCTGTAGAGGCATTAAAGCTCCTACTTCTTGGGAAAAAACGCAACTAGTAAACAGGTACGTAGCTAGTGCAGTGCTTGATACAGAAATTACCAGTGAGTGATCAGGTACAGTATGCCTATTAAAGGGCTCAGAGAGGTCTGCTCCAGGAATATCGGCTGGAAACAACGTGACTTGCTGGATATCCGTAGCCATACGCGAAGCCTCACGTTTCTCGTGAACGGTAAGTGCTACGCTCTCGGCTCGAAGTATATACTACCGGTAGGTCTGGAGTTCAACTTTTCGTGATGCTTCACTTAAAAAGAAATACGGTATAACGTTTGCGTAGCGCGAGTTTTAAAACGCAAGTCCTATACTTGCCCATACAAAAACGCGGAGAAACAGGACCCCAGCCGTGACGTCACGAGCAATTAAAACGTTACTCTACATTCCAACGCTTACGTGGACTGGGCTATTTTGAGTCTCCAAACGTAAGCCCGCGCGTGCGTGCGCGCGTGCGCGTGGGGAATGTAACCAGATGCGCATGCGCAAAATTAAAGCACATTTCCTCAATTCGCTGTATAAATACGAGCAGTACGTCAACGATTCTGGATTGTTACGCGATGGATTCGAGATATTTGTTAGCTCTGTGTCTTCTCTGTGGTCTGGAGATTGACTGTCAGGCCTTTCCTCGTCTTTCCTTTGGGGATAATATGGCTGTACCCAACCATGGTTATGTAGACCTCGGAATGGTTCAAACAAGTTACAAAAACAGCGTTCAGTGTCGTACTGATCTGAGTACATGTTGCAGAAGTGGCGAAGGTATTCATCGTGGACAGTGGTATTTCCCTGATGGTGATCCTCTGCAGAACAGTAGTGGAGATGGCGATGTTTATGAATTTGGGGGAAATATGAGACATGACCTTCGTCGTAGAAATAGTGCCACTTCACCAACTGGTATATATCGTTGTGAGATTCCAACCAATGCTAGCCATGATGAAAATGATACAGTGAGAGCCACAGTCTATGTGGGACTGTATACTAGTGAAGGTAATTTTGTTAGCTAAGCGCATCAGGAAATTGTGGTATAGCTTACTGACCAAAATAGGACGCTAAGGCTTTCTTTTAATAATAGGAGGGAGTGTCTCAATATCTGGAGGAGTGACATTTGACTCTGACCAGCTGACCCTCACCTGTATCTCCACTGGTGGACCTGCTACCACTGTCACTTGGACCAGAGACTCCACCACTGTCACCCAAGGAACCCAGACTGTGTTGAATGACCCAGTCAATGCAACTTACACCCACACTCTGACTGTGACTACTGCAGGCGATTACATGTGTTCTGTGGCTAATAACAAGCCATCTTCTGGTTCAGCAAGCATCACATTGGAGGGTAATGTATTGTAATGTGTCATTCAGTAATAATTATTAGCTCACTTCTGCAGGTCCATCGCCTCCCTCTGGTGTCACAGCAGTCCAGGATGGTCCCACTAGTATCACAGTGACCTGGACTCCTCCCTCTCCTCTGGGGAATACTACTGGCTACATCATCTCCTATACTGATCTGAGTGGAAATGGGAGCAGCGAGACTATTGGTGATGGAAATAGCCACACACTAACTAATCTCACCAATGGAGAGACCTATACGTTATCAATTGTAGCCAAATCATCAACAGACCTAGTCAGTGAAAGTGTTCATTATATGAATGATGTTCCCTTGAGTAAGTAAGATTACACATGTTGGAATTTTTGTCACAGCTGAATTTTTTCACAGTTCCATCTGCTCTAGTTCTGGATACATCTCCAACAGTCACATCCACTACCATCACTATCACTGGTAGTGTTCCCACTGGCTCAGTGGTGACTGGCTTTGTAGTCCAGTGGCAGAGAGACACGTCAGTTGGTGTTCCAATACAAGTATCGAAGTTTACGATGTATCAAGGTTTTAGTGTTTCATACGAATAACTGGACTAGAACCAGGGAATAGGTACACCATTACTGTGACAGTCTTCAATGCAGCTGGCAGTGGTCCAGTCAGTAATACTGTAACTGCAACAACTGAGGAATCAGGTAAGAGGCTCAGTCAATATTGTGTGACTTATCCCTGTTATTCAGTTTTCTATACAGATCCTACACGAGGTCCCAGCTCAGTCAGAAGTGGTACAGTCACTGCCAGTAGTATAACTGTCCATTGGGAGAGGTGTCTTGTCTTGACCGTAATGGAGAGATAACTGGTTACATAGCACAGGCTGTGAGAAATGGAATGGTAGAAGGAACTGCTAGTGTCGGTGGTGATGCTAGACAGGCTACAATCTCTGGATTGTCTCCATCAACCTCGTACACTGTCCAAGTGGCAGCAGTGAATGGTGCTGGTACTGGACCATACAGTGGTGTATCTGTCAGGACTAATGGTGAGTTTAGGGCTCAAAAGTAAAGTATTATGAGTGGAATTGTGACTGAGTCTCAATGATCAGTGAGGGGTGAGAATGTTTTGACAGTGTAGGCAAAAAGCCATTCCTAAGGGTCTACTAACTGCTGAGACATGAAGGCATGCCCACTAAGCTGTGTAGACAACATCCATTACCTACACAAAACACTTCTGCTTTATATACCTGTTTTGTATGCCAGTGTGTAGGCACAGGTTTTCTCTGCCTTAGGATAAACCTTTCTCAACAGATGGACTTAGTACACAAGTTATCTCCCCATCCATACATCTCTGACCATCTCATGGACACTGGAGGAGACTTTGACAGCTACTGGCTACACCATCTCCTACTCCAACACTAACAACTGACTGTTTCACTGACTCCAGAAGTGGTATAACTACTAGTGGGACATCATATCAACTGACTGGTCTAGAGGAGGGAACTCAGTATTCTATCACACTCACTGCCACTCTGACTGGAGGAAGGACTGAACAAGATACTGTCACAGGCACAACAAGAACTGCTGGTCAGTCTATCTCTCAGAGTCTCTTCTCCTCATTCTGAACCTTTCCACTCACAGCTCCATCTGCCCCTCCCTCTTCTGTGAGGTTGTCAGTGGTCAGTTCCACTAGTATCAACGTCAGGTGGGGGCCAATGGACTGCAGGCATCGGAATGGAGAGATAACAGGCTACATAGTGAGGTATGGGGAGGAGGGAGGTGATCAGAGACACAGGTTTCCTCTGGAGACTCCAGTGGAGGAATGATCACACTCAGTGGACTGACTAAACAGACAGTCTACACAGTTGAAGTGGCAGCAAGGACCAGTGCTGGTACTGGAGTCTACAGCCAACCACAGAATATTGAGACTCCTGATAGTGAGCATTCACTTCTGTTTCAATACTTTGAATGATAATTGTGTATGTAGATGTCTTCCTCAGTCTGAATGGAGCTGTCATCCCTGATCATGGCTATGTGGCTATCAGTGATATTGGCTCCAGTGACAACACTGCTCTACTCTGTATTACTAACCGTCCTCCACTTCTGGTACTTACTTCTGGAGGAGACTGGTATGCACCAGATGGGACAAGAGTAGATGGTACTAGTGTTCCAGGAGTTACCAGAACTAGAGGTCCTATGGTAGTGAGACTGAGGAGGACCACTGGTACTGCACCAGAGGGGATATATTGGTGTTCAGTACAGATGCTGCATCCACACTCAGACTGTCTATGTTGGACTGTACAACACTGGAGGAGGTAATGTTTGGTTTTTGAATGTACATTATACTGGCACTCTCTATACTCAGGCCGTCTAGCATTGTCTGGTGGTATGAATTTCACTCTCCATAATGACAACTCATTCACCCTCACCTGTATCTCCACTGGTGGACCTGCTACCACTGTCACTTGGACCAGAGACTCCACCACTGTCACCCAAGGAACCCAGACTGTGTTGAATAATACAGTGACTGCACAGTACACCCACACTCTGACAGACAGAACAGCAGGACTCTACACATGTTTAATAGCTAACAGTGTTTCAAATGTTTCAGCAAAGTTACCTGTGCAAGGTAAGACTGAGTAAGCTCCATAGAATAGCAAATTTAACCATATACTAGGTCCCTCTCCTCCATCTAATGTGAGAGTGTCTCAGAATGGACTGAACAGTCTACTGGTGACCTGGACACCATCAGAAGGACCCAATGTTACTGGCTACACCATCTACTACCACCAAATAGATGGAGGACTTAGTGGCTCAGTGACAGCTGCAGAGACAGATACTAGCGTCGTCATCACTGGACTAATTGCAGGAGCAACCTTCTCTATCAGTGTATCAGCCGACTCCAGTACACTATCAAGTTCTAGATCCCAGGACTGATACTTTAATAGGTATACTACTCTTGAGATTATTGCCATCACTGTAAATCTCATTGTTTACATGTAGTACCAGCGACCATCTCGCTCACATCTTCTCCTCCCTCCCCCATGATGTCTGGAGCCACTGTCTCTCTCACCTGCTCCATTTCCCTGCCCATTGATGTCACTGATGCCTCAGGCATACATTGGAAGGGGCCTGGAGTATCTCCAATCCCAGTTAACTCCGTCACCAGTGGAGGAATGATTTCCAGCGTCTTAACTTTCAGTCAAATAGAGTCGTTTCAGAGTGGATTGTATGGATGTAACTTCACTCTTGGTGGATCCATTTCCACCAGTATAACTGTTATTGTTTTAGGTAGGTGTCTATAATTAATGTTGCTTATGAGTTTGTTTCTTTATTATGCCCCAATATAGATCAAGTCGTCTTTTTGCCTGCTGTTAGACCAGATGCTACCATCATATCTTTATCATGGATCCCTGCATCTGGTGTTCCAGTCACTACCTACAACATCTCCTATTATAACACTAATAAGAAGTGTTTTGATGATAATAAAGCGATGAGTGTTGAAAATCACACACTCAACTCTACTCTGGAAGAGTTAGAAGAGCACACAGAGTATTTGGTGAAAGTTGCAGTTTGGCACAGAGGTCGTGTTGTTGGGAGCAACAGCACCGTGGTTACTACCAAGCCAGTAGGTACGTATTGTGAGTGTTTTGACTAAACAACTAATTACAGTTTCATTTTCAGCTCCATCTGCTGGTCCCTCTTCTGTGAGTGTGGCTGGTGTTACATCATCCACCATCACTGTGATGTGGGGAAGTGTACCATGTATCCACCAGAATGGAGACATCACTGGCTACTCAGTCCAGTACAGAGCAGTGGGGAGTGAGAACAAGGATACCGTGGAAACCAGTGAAACTGAAATTACTCTACTAAGTTTGACACCAGAAACAGACTATGAGATAAGTGTGGCTGCTGTTAATACTGAAGGAACAGGAGTTAGCACAAACACCTCAGCGACAACTTCAGCAGGTAGCTTAGCATACATACTGTATGCTATAATGTCTAGAGCTAACAAATTTCTACCAGAGAGAGCTACTAGCATCAGCAGTTCAGCAGTGGCAGCACCCACAAGTGGAGCAGTTATTGGGGTTCTCCTACTAATTTTGCTCGTCACAGTTTTACTCATCGTCTTTATCAGGTATTATAGTAATTTTTCACTAACAATTTTGACAAGAATAATGTGTGGTGTGTGGAGTACAGTCTATCAAGTTATATATTTACTGGCATACACTAGGAGTATTGTCTGAAACATTTTGTGTTGTGAAGCATAAATGAATCACTATGTGTTAACATTTCATCTGTGCAGGTACAGGTCAGGAAGTGGTGATATTCACACCTCAACTAACGAGGCCTATGGGAAGGTGGGGGGAGGACAGAGAGAAGAGGGATATGAGCTGGTGGACATCTCTCATGGAGAACCCTCCTCCTCCTCCAGCTAAACTGGAGGAGATGTATGAGGTTCCCTCGTTCTCTGCCCCTCCCCCCAGCCAGCCCCTCCCCACCATCCCTCTCCCTCATACTGATGCTGACACAGAGGAGAAAGACACTCCTGTCTATGATGTCATTCCTGGAGATATGTGACTCTACATTCGTGTGCCATGGCGTGAATTTTGACTGAACTTGTCACAATAGTTTTCTGTATAATTATAGCTCAGTTCATATCTCTATGATCGATGCGCAGAGCACACGCGGAATAAATCGTACACTGCGTGCCCCCGGAAGCGGAAACAAGCGTTTGGTATAAATTATTGAACTCAAAATTATTTGCGTCCTCCCACACTCCCTTACTCCCACAATAAGGGTACAGTGGAACCTCCAAGATAGGGACACCTAGGGGAAACGGCTTTTGTCCCTTGTAGAGAGGTCGTCCCTATCTCGGAGGTTTGTCTTTTTTTCATTCAAATACCCCTTAAAACTGGTAATTTTAACATTTTCATGAAAAGTTTATAAATTGCTACAGCTTAGATGACCATACAGAGGTAAAATATGATAATTCCAGCAGCTTAGGTACAGCTTTATTATTGTGACCATTACAACAGCTTAGATGACTACAATATACACAGCAATAATGTGACTATAAGATGACTATAGTACACAATTACAGCTTAGATGATTTTTACATTTTTGGAAAGTAGTCGTGTAGAGTTACCTGTTGGGATGATCGTAATTTTAAGATCGTTAGAGTGTCCACTGCTGAACCAATTTGAAAAGCTTCTTCTACGTAGCCCTTGCTTTCTAGAAACTGCTGAACATCATCGAGTGATTGTATTGCATCCTTGAAGTTTGTAATTTTTGGAGCTGGGACGGTCCATATCCATTTCATCACTACTAGCTTCTTCTTCATCGGAAACCTGTTGCTCTGAAGTCCAGCTCTCCTCAGAGAGTTCACTAACTCGTTGATTCGTTCAACGTAGACTTTCGGACCGTAAAGCCTGTACACGCACGGCACTTCTAGTCCATATCCCGCTCCTCGGTTGATCTTGTCCCGTCACTTCCACGAAGGCCTTGTTAACATCCCTCCGCAAAAATTGAGACAATCGCGGAGCGAGGTTGTGGGGAACATGTCCTACAACGACATCTTCTAAGAACACACCAACTGCATTCTTGTCCTTGGCCTTCGTTAGTTCCCGCTTTACAAGCAACGTCTGGCCTTGAACTGGATTCCATATGCCCATGTAGGCATGGTAACCTCTAATATGCGAACGAATCTCCAAAACTTCGAGGTCTGCTGCTGCTGTACCGCCAGTGCTAGTGACCTGACTTGCCATCGTCTCTGTCGCGTCCTCGTCTCGAAGCAGACACGCATGCGCAGGGGGCGGAGTATGGGTAGGTGTGGTTTCGGTGTCCGCAGCAAAATGTATGGGCGCTGTCCAGCGGGGGACCGTCAGTGTCCGTTGTCCGGATCTCGGAGGCGTCCGCTTCTCGGAGGTTTGTAATGTATTAGTTCTATGGTAGTTTCAATCCGTTCCTCGGCGCCTGTCCGCTTTTCGGAGGTTGTCCGCTTCTCGGAGGGTCCGTTATGAGAGGTTCCACTGTATTACCAATGATGTTGCATTTCGCTTTTATGTAACGCTTACCTTACCCCCTCCAATAATGGTTAACAGTTTTGCATTTTTTGCAGGTGTGGCACGACCAGCCTTGCGCATGACAACGCTCATCTCTCTCAGTACCTCTCCCTATCTCACTTCAATTTCGCTATCACTTTGCATCCCTACCCTAACAATAGTCCACAACTAAACCTTGTTGGTGACAATCTCGAGGGAATCAGGTTTGGTGGCATCAGTTTCAAATTCTTCAACCAACTGTACTACCACATACACCATCATCTAGTAGTGAGAACACAGTTGCATGGAAAGAAAAGCAGAGAGGAGAAAGGTTACACTTGCAATGAGGAGGGAAGGAAGGGAAAGTTAAATTCTCCGGTGACCCTCTCTCACTGACAACGAACAAACTGTGGGTTAGTAGAATGTACCTTTGCTCAGTAATTAAGCAGGTTTAAAAATTACGTGGGATACAGTAACTTGGTTGATTAGCATCCAGCTCACAAGCTATGGGTGCATGTTTACATTATGCTGTGTGTGGACTCACTTTAGAAGACTGAAGAAAGACAGGGAAACACTCGGGAATGGAGGCAATTACACTAGAGTCGAGCAGTGACCTGCATCCTTGAGAGAATATTAGAATGTACCAGTGAGGGAAAATAAAGGCAGTAGAGAATGGGAGGGGAGCATACTATAGGTCTACTTTCCAGTCGGGACACAATCTCTCTGCCTGCAAGGGGCTCTGATACGAAGAACTGGGAGCTTTCCGACGGCCGGAGGATGTCCTCGCGGGATAAAACTACATGACACTGACTGCCTGGCCCAAACAAGCCCGCCCGCGCGTACTATTACAAGTGGAAAAATCATTTCTTCAAAATGAAGGGGTGATATAGGGATGGCTTGAAGCACCAAA